CCTTTGTTGCACGCCATTTTTCGGAACAATACTCGAGGAATGGCAACGCAACAGGTTACATGCTCTTCGAACACGTTCAACTGTACCCGAATGTTTATTACCGTGTTCTGCAACCTGCGTCCGTATCTGCTACGCCAGAGAAACGCGTTCGACTATGATGAAAACACATTAACCTACCGGTGAAGCACGATTTATAGGAATCGAATAGAATTGATGGAAAGGATCGTGAGTTCAACACAATTTAATGTTTTGAAATATCGTGGCACATGAAAGTATCCGAACACTTGAAGAAACCTTTCATAAATATCTTATAAGTGTTATATTACACATTCTTAAAATTCATTAACACTGTAGTGAAGCACGACGAACATGATACTATTGGTAAAATTTAGAAGGGATTTGAAAATGTATATAGATGTTACAAGATATTTATTTCAAACATATTCACGAAAATTATCAAACTACTTGAGCCAATTATTTATTACAGTATCAGGTCACGATATTTACTAATTGCAAGATAATTTTCTCAGTGCATGTTTGCAATAAGTTTCATACAAATTCTACATACCATTTTTTTGGATTGGTTTGAATCTGGTCGGTGCTAATGGAGTTCGAATACTTTCGTGAGTTAATGTATCTTTGATATACTATAAATAACAAATTTTATTCAGTAAAATAGTTTAATTTTTGTTCAATTACTTTCTGTTCGATAAGTTCACAAAAGTTGACATTTTTGTTTTGTTTCCTTAGCTGGAGGAACGTATTCTATTCTGAATAGTACTGACAAATTGTCGAATGCCATTCGACAATTGATACAAGCTGAATCGCCGTGAAAGAGCTAATTGCTAGTCATTGAATTCCAAAATAATAGGCATTCGTCGATCATCACGAAACGACGAATTCATTACATAATTATCAATGAGTTATTTGTGTTCAGTGACCGGAGTGTCCTCTGCGACTCGTCCCGCCGGAAGCGGATACACGCTTCACGAAAGACGACCACAAGTGGAACGAGCCATGCATGTACAGACGCAGTGGCAGTAGGTGCGCCCGTGTGTGTCAGACGGAGAACGCTTTTCTGCCGTGTAAAAATGGACGATAGCTGCGCTCTGTTTTTTTTCCTTTCTCTTCTTCTTTTAATAGCTCTTCGGTGAAAATTATAAATTATTCTTTGCACATCTTCACTAAAAACAATAGAAAAAATGTACTTCGCTCTAATATTTAATGTTCTGTTTCTTTGTTTTGTAATACTCTTCTAGTGAGGATTATAAATTATTCTTAAGGTATTTTTGTTAAAAATAATAGAAAAAGATAATTTTATTCTTGCGTGTTCCTTAAAATTGACGTTTAATTTTTAGTCATTTTTGAATCGGAAAAGTCGAAGTTATTGAGCAGTGAAGATTTCACGGTAGATTCATCAATGAAAACTTTCACGAACGAAATCGAATCGACAGCGATCAGCGAGCTTAATGACCCTTTTATAAAACGTTTTATAGCAACCATCTATCGAAAGTTTCCACGTTCTGCAATCTGAAAATGCGCTCATGATTTCTCTTCGAGACTTGTGTATGATTTAATGGAAGATCCCAAGAGCTATTATGCAACGAGGAGTCGGACCGATGCAATCTTCGGTATGTAATCATAGTTCGAACGATTCGCGAGTTACTGCCGCAGGACTGATCACATGTGTGCGTAGTCACATTGCTGGTAAGTCACTTTGGAAACGTGGGAGTGACCGTGACACTTCGTAAAAAGTTGAAAAATTTCTGGTTTACGTATTGAAATTTAAGTGCAAATAATCGTATCTTTTCAAGTATGATATAACAATAATAGTTATCATTCTACATATTTCGAATCTTTTTACATCTTTTTTGCAATATCTCAAAATAAAGATACGGTAAAATAAAGCAAAACCGGATTAAAATTACAATACGTAATATACAGGTATAATTCAGTTAATTTTGTTTAGAATTTGATGTTAACCACAGAACTCGTGTCACGCTTATCGATGTCGAATCTTAAGCCTGTTTCACAAGGAACTAACATTGCATCGAATGTCCGTTTAAGGACCTTTCGGTAGCATCGATAAAGTTACGCATGCGATTACGTGTCGAAGATGTTATCACCTAGAGCGTCGTTACATAAGATTTCCAGGGACGCACAATAGGGCCCCGATGTTCCATTAAACCGTATGCAAATATCGGGAGAACAATGGAACGCGGACGGTCAGATCGACGTTCGCGAAAAGTCAGTGGTCGGCTGCCGGAACGCTTCCTGGATGTCGCAAGCGATCCACAGGATCCATGGAAGAGGATCCTAAAAATTCGAGATCGTACCCAACCCATCTTGCAGCTACTCGAATCTCGAACAAATATTTTAATTCTTCCATATTAAAATTCCAACGTATCAATATTTTTATATTACAATACTACTGTCGACTACATTCTCTTGAAAATATAGACTTATACATATATGTAATAATTAATTATTATTCCAGGCTACTTTTAAATATTTTGATAGAACAGAACGTTTTTCTATTTTCCTTTTTTTCGAGTGTTCTTATTTAAATTTAATAGCAAAGAAAGTGATAATCACCAACTTTTTACTATGAAATACTTGTTAGACATTTATTATGATTGTGTATGAAAAATGAATCCCGTTAGACACGCTAACCCGCAGGCGTCAATGATACGATATAAATTATAACAAATTGTACGACAGTGGGGTATTAATTTACGGGCCGATGATTTAAGATATTGCGTACCGTGCATAATTGACGCCTCGTTTCCGTATCCAGCCTCCTTGACAGCAACAGAAATTCATCTTCTTCCTAGAAACCATCGGATCTCGAATGTTTCCTGGTAACGGAATTCGAATCGTTTCTCGGTGAGCACGTGATCGATCATGCGTGCCCGACACGTTCGTTATCTCCGACGACGTTCGTGGGTCGAAGATCATCCGGATTCTACGAATCATTCCTCTGCTTCTATTCAAAATTTAACTTCGGAGAATTTATAAAAAATTGTAGAATACTCTTTAAAGCTTCATCAGCCGCTCGAAGCATCTTCAAGCAGGTTCTTGCGATATTTATGTCAAGTCACAAGGAAAAAATATGGAGTTTCTCTGAGGAGCTGAAATATTCATAAACTACGTTACTTAAGTATCGAACATTTTCCAATGATTTCCTCTAAGGTATTCGTGGCATTTTACAATCAGCAACAAACGATAGAAATACCAATGAACGCGGTTTTGCAGCGGAATCCTTCTTCCTCCAGAAGGTTAGCGGGCGTACCAACGATCACGATCAAGATCATTGACTTCTCACGAATGTAAAGCGATCCCTTGAAAGCCTCCGTTCTGTCGGTGCGATCTTTCGCCCGGATATCACGTGGACACGGAGAAAGGAAGGAATTATCAAAGTCGTGCATCGCCACCACGTCACGAACTGGCTCACACAGAATTCTTTCTATCGCCACAATGCTCTGTATGCCCTTCCCTCTTTCTCATTCTTTCTTTATATTTTGGACGGCACAGTTAAGCCTTATTTATACCTTCTTTTATATTCTGGATCTCAGAAGATATGTTCGTAATTTGTCCGTGGCACAAGATGTTTTCTTGATCCCTTTCTGTTACCTTTATGCTTGCGGCAGAAAAAAAATATAATTCTTTCTCTATGTTTTCGAATGAGAATTTTGAAATACAAGATTGCTTTGTATCTCGTATTTCTAGTATAATACGTTCATCGTTCAAACCTTTAATTTCTATTTAGAAAAGAATAAAATATCCAGTTTAAATATCGTTTAGATATATGTTCTTTTTCTAAATATATTTTATCAGATACGTTATTTTTAGAAGGACCATTAAAATCTATTCGAAATAAGCACGTACAATGAGGATAGCGAATCATCCAACTGAATTAATCCAAACTCCATACAGGGGACTCAAAAACATTCTTATGTGAATTTAGTCACACACTAGACGAACGTTAATTTTGATCCAATAACAAAATTATCGGTAGATTCGGTAGTACAGTTACAACATAAAAATTGATTTCAAACTTTTATTCGTAGCTGAAGAGAATCCTAAAGAAAATATTCTTCATAAGAGGGGAATACCCATTTACGAAATAACGCGATTCGAAGAAAAGGAAAATCTTTGTGGAATGATATATCCTTTTATTAAATTACCTTCCTAACCTTCTTGGAAGCTAATACGGAAGCAAATGAATAATCATTATATTTATGATCGCGAAGCATCAAGTTGACAGGTGTTCTCTGGATGAAATGTAAAAGAATCTTTCGAGATTCCTCGAGTTTTTCTCCAATGAAAATGTAAATGAGCGAGGTGATGCATGTACAGGTAATCACGACACGATATTACTGTTCGTTTTCTGTTTATTTTATTTTGCGCTCGTTGGACATCGTATAAGAGAAACGGTCGATGACAGATGGCGATTGTCCAACACTAACGACGTGACCGTGATCTTGAGAGTGTGGCCTTGAATGAGCATTTCAGCATCGAGCAAAGATGGAAAGTCATACTTGCATTCGGTTGATCGCTACTACTACGCTATCCAGGCGTTCCATTGAATTTATTCCCTTTATCAGTTCGTAAGTTTCCCGGCAATACCAGTGGCGTGATAAAGTCGAGCCTGGGGAGCTGTTTAGATCTCTCGATACTCGTCGCGCGTGCACATGCTGCTCTTTCCAAGGTTATTACAATAGGATATTGCTAAATCAATGGAGTTTCAGAAGATCGATTCGGGTTATGAAGATATTTCAGAATTTAAGATAAATTTATGATACTAATACGTTCAACGTCTTGTAATCATACATGATGTATAGTCTGTTTTTTAATATGCATAACGTACCAGCCTAATATTAGAACACCTACTTGTCATTTGTTTATTTATTGAATATACAGATATTAATAATAATAGCCTTGGATATATTTTCAATTAAATTCTTAGGTAGCAGAATCATAAACTGACATATTTTTAAATTGATGAATTCGGTGCAACAGATACTGATTCTTTGTCGATAAAACCCTATATAGCCTCCCTTTGGTTACCAAAATCCTATAGATATAAGATAGATGTAAAATATAAGGTATATATAAGATATATATGTCGGGTTCACATTATGATTAGGATCAGGGGCGTAAAGCGAATCTTCATTTGGATTAAACATTGTTGTTATGCAATAGAGAAGATATTTACTAGTGCAAATATGATTATTACAGAATTTGACAAGTAACTCTGGTAATTAGATACTCGAGATGCTAATGACAATGATCCCAGGCCCAACAACGAATCCGCGGTCAACGGGATAACAAAATGCGCCTTCCTTCAAAGTCCAAGTTGTACCCAACTTCCTTGTCTACGTTACAAGTATTACTGAACTAACTCTTTGTTAAAACGTAGAATATCCACCGAGTGTAAAGACGCTATGTAACTCGCTAATGAGACGTCACGAGAGAATGACTTTCCGTCACGATGATGCTGCAGAGGAAAACTATGATGGGATGTGTCTAAGGACACGAGATCATCGGATTCGTCGAGGAAAGCCTTCGTTCGGAAAGTGAGGGTTCCTGTTAATTGTTGCTAGAAAGTTGCTAGCGGGAAGCGTCGTTTGTGAGAAAAGCAGATTTCCCGTATTTTCCCGTAGTAGGTGGTAGATTCAGGGACTGTTAGGATAAAGACTGTTTGTCCGTTTGAAGGATCTTAGTTAACTAAATCGTAAGATTTATCGCGGGTCCTCAGACTAGCTGAATACGTACTGTGGAGATACATCGACATCTGGTAATCATCTTGCCCGAAGAATAGGGTCTGTGTGTGGCGAGTCACGGAACAGAAGCTGTTGGAATGTTTACTCTCGCGTGCCGCTACAACTATTTCTTTTAACTAGATCTATAGAATTACTCCACATCTCTGTTAGGTAAAAACGTTCAACCCGCGACCGCGGCTACGTTCAGCGACTACTTGTCGCCTCGAGCCCAAGCTCATTATCACAAATCTCGGACAATTATAATCGAGTTAAATTATAAAGATTAAAATATTGGGGATTTTCCCAAGAATTCCAAAGAGAAGGCCCCGGTATCCTTTCATCTTTGACATATATAAGATATTATTTGGCGAGTTCTCGCGATATTTGACATCCAACCAATGGAAAATAAATCAAAAGTTGCATACAACTTACCGAAGCCACATTTGGAATTACCGTCATCGCAAGTAATATCTATTTTTGCATCGAGGCAGACAAACATATTTGCGAAACGAAGGCCAACGAAGGAGAGTACAGAACTAAAAGCGCGTATCTTAAGTGGCACTCTTAATACATCGGAGGCTCTTAATGCTGCAATTTTATTTTTATCTTCCTTTCGGGAAAGCATTTAATCCGATGCTTTAAAGAGAACAAACAAAACACGAGACCTTCTACCTCTTCGATGATAACGAAAACGTATGTACTCTTGAGCCACCGTGGAAAACATTAATTACCGAAACAATTTAAAAAATTACAGTCTCATCAATTCACGTCGAGAGAATTTAAACATCACTCTTGTAGCCAAACAAATTAACCTTCCACTAACATTTTGTCGGAAGAGGTCTATACATATGTATCATCAAGAGTGCTTCCCGTCTTGCAGTATGTTGCATGTTCACTCATAGAGGTGAACGTAATCTCTGCTGCAGGGTGTTACTCGTACCAAGGTCCCTTGATGTACGATTCACCGTGATCATCAGCTGAGCTCGTCTATCTTCGACCATTCCGTCGCCACATTTTGCACGAACATTGAACTTTGATTACGGGTTGGAAAGGTAGATGTCGTGCTACTATGTGTTACATACTAACGAACCTGCTCGTATTTCGGTATTTGGCTTGTCGTTATTAGAAAGACGAAGATGCAACAATCGTGTCCCGTGGATCAGATTTTTCTCTTTTACGATTCGAGTCACACGAGCCAGCCGTTGTAGCGTAATTAGTCACACTGGTGGTAGTTTTAATTAGCGAATTGACAATTAGCCGTTGGTGTAAGGGAATTTAAAAATGAAATGTACAACCTTCTTCGAGATTCTAAACGTTCCCAAAGATAACATGGGAACAACGTGATACGGTATAGTTTGTTGATTTTCTAAATTTAATAGGGCTAATTATAAATTTTAAGCTTCGCTTTAAAAAGAGGAACTTGAGATAAAGTTAGACCAATAACGTGCCTCTGTTAGAGCTGAAGTAAGAGGAAAGATATGATTATAAAAGTTTAAATAACTGAGATCTTGTATGTACAGCATGTATGATCGGAATAGATAGTACAGAATATTTACTCGATGATCGAGCGGATCGTCGACTGTACACACGCCGATCATTTACACGCGATCTTCTTCCGGCACGTAATACCGTGGCTAATGAGCCTACGTATCTTGAGTACAAGTTACATAAACATGTGGATGCATCCCGAGAAAGACGGAATAATTTAAACAAGAAGGACCAATCCGATGGTTTACCTGCGAGAACTTAAACGAATAGCAATCTTGGCAAGCATTACATGCAGTAACGTTTTGCTAGATCTAACTATATAAATTAAGATTTATTATTATTATCATCTTAACTATAGTTAAATATCTTATCTATTAGTTAGGAGTATGAATCACTTTTCCAACTATTCCTATACTGAATCAAAGTCGTAATTTTATTATTAATTTTAAATTGATACTACTTTGAATCATTTTTGGCGGGAGAAGTTTTCGGAAATAGCAGAATTCTAAATGAATCTTTGTTTAATCCCTATATTCTATGAAACACGTGATTTCAAAGTCTTAGGGGAACAATGCAGATAACAATCAAATTAAAAAGCATTATTCTGTTGTATTGTTAAAACTATAGACTACAAATATATATATGTATAAAATTGTAAAGAATATATATTCAAGGAAATAGGAAATAGACTTTGGGTGAAGTTAATAGAGATTAATTTTTGCAGAATGTGCAGCCTACGATCGCGTCCTCCCACCAATGTGAGACAAAGCCTGTAAGGATACAGGGATAAGTATCGTTACATGTGCCAAGCCACAGGGATAGTCATAATGTAAGCATTGAACCGGCGACGGTGCCTGAACTGTCCATTGTATTCCGTAGCCGGAGTCGCAGGTTCGGCTAGCCTTGAAGCAGTGAACCTCCCAGCGCGACAAGATGATGCATTGTTACAATGCGCGGGCCTATAGTTGCCCTTTAGGGTCACGCAGAAAATCGCAAAGGTTAAGAGGTATCAACGTAGGTGCATCTATGTATGTACACCCCAAGATGTATAAAACAGCCAACATTTGGATTTCGATGGCATCAAACAATTCCATTTATTCACATTACACGCACAAATAAAATCAAATAATTGTATCATAAGAAAATTGGTCGTATGTATGACAAATATAACAAATAAATACGCGACAACATATATTATGTAAATACTTTATATAAAACACATAAATAATACACAAATGTGAAACCTTGAAGGTGGAGTCACAGGATGCAATTTGGGTCACACTGAGGTCACGGAACTTGACTTCCATGTTCTCAGAACAGTACAAATCGAATCTAACTACCCTGAGATTGTGGGATCTAAGTCGAACCATGATTGTGGGACCTCTATAACCTCGAGGTGGCAGAATTCGATCACCTTGAGGTCGTATGACTCAAATCGAAGTTAGCAGGCATAAGCTACCATAATACTATATGTACAGAGGTCAACGGATCTAAATTTGACTAGTTTGGTATAAACGATACGATTCTGAAGTATTCTCGTAATTTTGAAGGTGTTGAAGTTCAATTCTATAGTCCTGAAATCTTCCCCATTGTGTCCTACAACAACAAGATCCCAAATAAATCTCGTATCATCAAGGTCATCGGGATCATGATTCTGCGACCTCGTTCTAATTTATCACAAATACCATGACTTAGAATGGCCTGCGATGACCCAGGGACTTGTATTTAAACCCCTATTGTATTCTATGTTGTACGATCTAGAGGCTGGATAACGTGAATTCCATGACTGTGTGGACATAAATAAATATTCATGGGCTGATCTGATACCATTCCACTACTACAGTAATTAATTGCATTATTTGTTGTCTATTTAATGATAAAATGTTAATTTAACGACAAAATTTCTATGAAATATTACTACGTTAGAAGTATGAGCTAAGAATACATTCGTTTTTAGACATTACAGATATTTATTCGTTATGTCATATATTTTTAAAATATATTATTCTACATGCATAGTATCTAAGTTCCCCAAATATAAAGGGAATTATTTCGGTTTCAAGCATCGCTCAATATAACGAACTAAACACTCAAAACGGTTAAGATAAAGCAACTAAAACATATTCTTCCTGATATAATCAAACCATTACCGACTATCTCTCAAACATACCAAGTTATCAGTCAACAATTGCGAAAAACGATAAACACAGAAGGTGGTAACACGAACGCGGTTCATCTGTTTGGTACAAAGTTCGTGGTGATTCTAGTGGTCCGTAGGTGAAAGAAAAAGCTCAATAATGGATATCGATGATGTTGGAAGAGACATTGGCACGTCCGCACGCATTCCGGCAGCCAGTTATAAATCACTGATTCGTATCTCGGTAAGGCCCCCTTAACCAAATGGATGCTACTGTCGATTTGAATTACTGCCCTTACCCGGCGAGAGCCATTGCCACAGCCGACATCGACGAACAAACGGTTCAAAGTTCTATGTAAACTACCGCCCACGTTTACATTCTCCTGGGCCACGAGTGGTCCGCTGTTGGCTCTTCTCGTGTGTGAGAAGGTTCTATGTCCTCTGCTCTTCTTCAAGAGTGATCTAAGGAAACGTCTGCAGGGCTGGAGCCGGGCGCTGTCGCACATGACTGCCGGCGATTTAGAATCGGGGGTGATAGCGACTGAATAAAAGATGAAGGAACAACCGCGCGGATCGTATCTCACGGAATAAGGATTTCGTAAAAGTTTGCGTCCGGTCGAGACGCGCGAATCCCCACGTTCGCTATCCGTCTTCCTTTTACTTCCACCAAGGAATCTCATGGAACGACGTTGATAAATTGAGATTCTGACGTAAGCTTTCTGGAGCGTCTTACTTTCTTCGAATCAGAATTGATCTTTAATCCCACGGCTATCGTCGATTGCGCGAATTCATTAGGGAAATACGGTGATTTTGATACAGTTTACCTCTTTCATTTTTTATCGCGTCATTGCTTTGTTGTCTATAATCACATCAGATAAATATTGACCATTTTTTTCAATACTCTCCATAGTAATCGGGAATCTACATTGTAATTCTTGCGTAATGGTAGCGATTTTTTCCCACAATTATTCCCGAGTTCATTCTACAAGGAAAAAGAATAGCTCTAGAATAGATTCGGTAGAAGTGATAAGTTTGTGTCATTGTGATTTTCGCTGAAATAATTTTATTAGAATGCAAACAAACATTGCTATATTTCTAATTTTTATCAGTGAACTTTAAACACTCACTCAAGCATTAGAATCTTCCTCAAAACTTTTGATTCCTAAAGTTCTTCCATAATTCAATATCAATGAAACCTCACGACGATTTCCAGGAAATAGAATAGAACTGTTGGTAATTGGATTTCCAGAGAACCTAGCTGAACATATGGCCTCACCTGCTAAAGAATGTGATCTCACAGACAATAGAATCTATTCTTTTTAGCTAGACCCTTGTCAGGTCTCACAGATCTGACCTGCAAATTGGATTGTCAATGACGAAACATTCAACGAATCATCTCGGTTTTGGCACACTTTTTATGACTGGAAACGTTTCAAAGTGTTAGATGTCTGTGTACATAGAAGACAGTATGAGTCGAGTGTGAGATTGCGTAGGCTGCGGAAGATGCGTCTTGAAAATGATTGTCTCCGGTGTCTGGAGACTACCTTCGAACGAACGTTAGCCTGTCTCGTGGGGAACAATTGTCTATTGTGCTTTTTTAAGAAATTGAGTTCGTTTAATGAACCCTGACGAACAACTCTGTCTAACAATTATACTTAAAAACAAATCTGATTTTAAACAGAACATTTATTATTAAACTGTGGTTTGTGCATTTATATTGAAGTTTAAAGATGAAAAAATGTGCGAAATTTTCTTACGATGATGCGCAACGTTTGTAAAATAAAATAAAGTAAAATAAAATAAGAAGGCAATTTTGATAACGTAAGAATTTTAATCTCGCTCGTAAAAAGATAGAAAATGTGACTTATCCCTTGTATTTTTCATATAAAGTATCCGAAATATAATTCTCATTAGAATATTTAAGTCAAACAAATTTCTGCGCAAATTCCATTTCATCCATAAAAATATAAATTTGTATAAATATTCACAATGTATTTATGATTTGTTCGAAGCCGGTACATTTTCAGTATTTGTAACTCTATAACTTTGTAACGGACCTTATCTAACGTTTGATCAAAATTGCCAACAAATGTTCAGCAGTGTAGAATGTAGACCCCTTTTAGATTATCTACAGCTGACTTATTGCGTTGCATACAATGTTTATTATCACTTCGAAACGGTTCGCTGTATGCTATCTCGTCACGAATTGTCGGTCACGAGAAATCCCAAAAATAAGGAGCTCGAGGTCGACAACCAGTCTGTCGTTCGACTCGAGGCAACAAGTGTGCTTTCAGGGTGATTGATTACGCAACCAACGATACATTAAATCGATTGACGCGTATCGATAGAATTGTGTGAACTCGCGAGCAGCGCAGTTAGTATGCAGAAGTGCAGAGTGTCTGCAGCTACAGTGCCTAGGAATTCCGCTTGAGAAGGGTAATTTTAGCTTCTCCTTGTTCCCCGACCTTGCCAACTTTGTGAAACTCGCACGTTTCCAAGCGCGAGCATCGGCTGAAACGAGAGACGAAGGGTGCTTCTGAAGGACAAAAGTTCGTGGAAACTGAGGAGAATACTTGAAATAATAAAAATAAAAAGAAGCTCTCGTGCGGAAATTTACTCTTCTCAAGAGTGAAAGATTTAAGAATTGAATTGTTTGAGAATGCAATAAACTTGGTTCATAAGCAACACCTGATCAATTGTCGATCTTCGACATGGCGAAATTAATTGCTAAAATGCCAATGGAAGTAAGAAAAGGCATCGCGTATCGAATTTGCGACCTATCACGCGTATTGAACTTTCCACTTTCCGCAGATACGTGCATATACGCAATACCTGTGAAGCATATGAATATTTATGAACTTTAAGAAACCACGCCTAGTAAAAAAAAAAGTTTTCTTCAAAGTTCTCTCTTCACAAGCGTTGTTCGTTTGCCATACAGATAAGAAAATAATCCTCTTCCTGTGAAATTCTCAGAAGTGAAACCAACAAAAATTCGCAAAACCGTATAGAAACCATATAAAAACATAAGAAACAAGACGTCCAATAATTTAATCCGTTAAAAACCATGCAATAGTTTGTAATAATGTTATAAATACTCCAATTTCTGTAAACTTCGTAAAATTGTAGAATCTAGGTGAAAGAGATAGCGACAAAAAAGATATCAATCGAGTTCATGAAATTTCCTTCCATAGTTACAATATTTAAAAAGAAAGAATAAAATAATGTAAATAAAATGAAAAAGATTGGAAATAAAACGTTTCGTTAACGCAGCATTGTCCCGTAATGAGTTAATATTTTCATCTAACCAATGAAATATCAGTCAGACTGCCACTTTGCAGAATGTCTATCGGTCGATTCTCGTTTCTCTGACAATAAGTATATTTTTCATTCGAGAAGTCTCGAACCCTCCGTAGGCTTGTCCGCCTTCACGACGAAAAGTGAGTTTCAGAATTCAAATCGGAACGTAGGCACACGTGCGTAGAGAGCTGTACCATTATTCCAAGCAATATACACGGGAACCACGAGCATGAGCGCGCGCGCGCGCGCACGAGCGTTTCTGCATTAGCTGGTGGCAGCAGGGACATCGTGACAGCCACGGCTCTGAATCATTCATTCGTCCCGTGGCGTTGCAGCGCCCGTTGCACTTTCGTGGTCCTTTTTGTCGTCCTACCATATCGCGGTTAATATTGTACGTACACAATGCAACATCGTCTCGAGGCGTAGGCAGCCCGCAAAAGGGAGAGGCACCATTCCCCCCAAGGGTTTTCTACCTTCCTTCCGTTCACGTTTTATTCCCATCGGTCTCTTTCACTTGTTCCAACCGTGACGAATTTTGTTGCGCTAACATTCTGCACGCTTCGTAGTTTCCATTTGATGCGAGACTGCGTGGAAAACATTTCTGCTTTTTATCAAGATCTTTGAAGAGAGAATTGGTATATGGAAATGTTAATTCTCTCCGTTTGTCGTGGTCAAATGTCTTCCTCTAAGGTGTTTCTAATTGGAATATGCTATTATAATTAGATTGCAGATGGTTATGCATTGATACGAAAGGTGCAAAAATGTATAGAGTACACATAATAAAAGGGTGAATTTAGAAACTGTTGCCCTATAAAAAGAAAAAGAAAACATCATGACTTATTATATTTTTCCCCTGTAGTATATATGTACAAACTATCCAAAGTAAAATACTCCTTATGATACATAGAAGATTCATCGCTTCAATTGCGTTCATGTAAATGTGAATTTACATAACATCCAAGTTTAATCACATGCTATTACCATATTATATCAAACAAGTTAATCTTAGTAACTTTGATATGTATAAAATCAAGGATACCCATACGATATTCCAATAACACTGAATCTCCTAAAAAAAGATCCGAACCAAATCAGCAATTCCAATAAATTCCAACAAACATTAGTAAACCGTATCGAATGAAACATCGCACGTGAAACCCAGCTCTTTTAAAGTCTACAAGCCCGTAACACAGTTCTCGAGGAACCATCAACCATCCAAGAGGCAATATTCCCGAGGCACGTTGAGAGCTTTATCGAAAAAGCTGGGAAGCAAAAGCACGGCAGTAGGCGCGCGCCCCGCTATGTATAGGAAAACGTCGAGGCGGTTGATATACCGGCAGTTCCGCCTGGTGGAATCACATAGGACGATACAAACTGGAAAGAGGGGAAAAACGACGGGAAGAAGAAGGACTTGGCCGGTACTAGGAAGGGGAACGGACGAAGAAATACTGGAGCCGTGAGCTTCGTACCGGCCGTCTTCGTTCCACTTCACGAGAATGGACGGTCGGTTGGTCGTGCGCTCAACTTGTGTACCGTCTTAAGGCTGCCGCGGCCCTTGCTCGCTACGGTTATAACGCTGCCGAGCAGCTCGAAGAATGTTGCTGAGGAATCATAGACGGACGTGCTGCGAGTGACTGCCACGCAAAAGGACATTAGAGAACTAGGCTCGAACCCAACGCCGCCGCCACGTACCTACAACGCCGCCACTCGTTCCCGTGACTCTTAGAATTTCCTCCAGCCGTGTACACATCCTTTAGCCCTCCTCCCCAGTCTCGTCTTTCTTCACGTTCGACGGGAAAATTGAAATGCGCACGGCCACCTCGCGGAAGAAGATTTTTTTATATACCTTGGAAGGGAGCCAGCGGTTTGTGTACCTCGGTCAGCACGACTTTGCTCGCAGTTCAGTAATTTCTTTGGTCAGACATTTTACGTTCTTTAAGACTGCTCCGTGTAATCGTGTAAGTTCACTGTGCTCCGTGTATTTGAGGTTCTCGTCGAGCTAACTTCGTTTCTTGCTTTTTGGGGAATTTTCATTGAAATTGGAATATTCTTTCGACAAATGTTTAATTCATTTTATATGTTGAGTCGTAGAAGTAGGGCATAGAATTAATACATTATTTTCTGCTATGTATTTAGCGAAGTAGAGAAAATAGAATTATTTCTAAAGCAATGGTACTTGATAAGATAAATTGCCTCCGATTTTTTCGAACAATCCAGTACTTTAGAATAGTAATTATGAGTAATTAATAATGAATACTTGCTCGACTTAGCTTTTATTCATTCTGGACATTTCCAAACAACAACAGAAATGCAAAGTTCTGTGTTGGAATTAGTAACAAATTTTCTCTCAACTTATTCTGGAAATTGTAAAACGTTAAAAGAAATAAAAAATTGTATAGAACGTAAGTGATATATGAATGAGTTCTGTAATGAAATAAATTCTTGCACATTTATCATTATTCTTCACGATTTCTGCAACAACAGCTCAAAGTTCAGAGATACATCGAAGACAAGCGTATTCCAGAAAGATTGACAACAATCGTAAATGAAATTTTGCAACGATTACACTCTCATTACATTCTGTGAACCATTATACGCATTGAACGTTTCTCTAATCTTTGCGCGAGGTCTCGCACGTACGTTACGTCGGATAATTCATGCGAAGTTCTCGAGGCTATGGCAAATGCTACTTGCTCTCGGGATCGATTGAGAAACGCCGCGAAATTAGACACATCTTAGGTACGTGTTGAAATTATCTTCCCATGAAGGGGGCCAGTATCGCCGCACTCTCACGGTTGCACATTGTTCCAAGAGCGATTTATGCGCGTGCTGATTGAATTATGTAATTACAGCGTGGCGCGGCTTTAAGCGGATTACAAAGTCGATTATGACGGCGGAACGAGTTGCTTGGCCGTGGCCGACGATCGTTCGTGTTCGTTTCAAGAACGATAGTTCAAATTCGAGGAGCTGTTCCGAATAAGAAACCTGAGTTATTCGAATAATCGCAGTCGAATGAAAGATATAACATACGGATTTTATTGCTTTTAAATGGATTTTATATCGACAACCGATGATAATTCGATTACGGGATCATTTCTTGCGACGTAATTTCTTTCCAATTTTTTTTTTTTTCGAGTAATTTGAGTAATTTTATATTTGTAATACAGCTACCGAGAAATTTTCATCCATAAATAATTTGGATAATAAGTAGAAATAATATTTAATTCTACCGTATTCTTGAACCGAAATATTCTCCTCGGCTAGCAACTTGGCGATATGGTGTATTTTATTCAAGAAACGCATTGAAACCAGACACTGTTCACCCCTCTCCGTCACTAGACAGTCGGACTCACCGCTGCCAGCAAATGGAGAGATAAAACTCGCGACTATACACGTTCCCATCGCAAACGTTAAATCACCTATTGTTCGGGTAAAAGAAAAATCGAATTCGTCGCTTCTTTTCAAATATTTCTTCCTGCTATCGGATTACTGGCTCACTGGAAATCTACCTGTAACCAGTAAACCTTTCCATTCATGCTTTTGAGAGGGAAATTGAATTTGCACCTTGCTAAACCAAACAAACGTTGCCTAAGAAGTCTAATTCGCAGTTATTCTATCGGAATCACCAACAGGTTACTAACGATGCGCTTTTCGTTCAAAAAACATTTAAACAACTTATTGTTTAATTATATCTCTTAAATTAACGAAGATATCGATTTAAGAATGTATGCAAATTTAAGAATTTTGAAGTCTTGATTATTATCTCTACAGTATTTATTTAAATTACTCAATTTACGTATTACTTGAAATACTTATGTATCTAATATTTATACACTGCAGTATGATTATTTTATATAAAGTACTAATTAGAAATCGTCAATAAGTCCCTACGATTCATTTTAAATTCGTGATTTCTCGTTTGTTATTCCTCAGCGTGGAAGATCGAAAGAGTGATTCGCGTATTCGAGGAACAACCGAAAGGAGACGATGCGAAACGAGAAATCTTTTCGTCGACACGCCTAGCTGCGGCCTTGCACGGGGCATTGCGTGGTCCTTTCGATAGCCGCGATTATTCTCGCGGGAATAATCGATCCTATCGTTTCATCAGGGTCGCATTGTGGCTCTGTTGGATGAAACGAATTCCAGCCGTTTCACGTTCCCCGTAAGCGAAATGCGTCGCGTTCGATCGCCTAGGCGTCTCTCTTTGAGAACGAGCCGATGGGAAAGAAAACGAAACGACCGCGACGTTTCGCCTGCAGAGAAAAGAAATAGCGTGCACTGGACATGGGATGGAATCGATCGTCGCTAGAATGTGCGTTTTAAAGATCGAAAGATTGAGTCCGCTATACCATCCAACGATTGTACCGATTATGATCGAGGTTCGGTCGAATGATCTATTATATTCGTCAAGTAGAATGACGTGTTATTTTATTGGTCGAATTAAATAAGTCAATTCGTTTGTAAAAAAAAAACCGAAGAAATATAAAACACGTCTACAATTTAATCGACAATTTATTACAATATCGAAGCAAAAGGTACAAGAAAAAATTAAAAAATATGAATTCAGACATGTGAAAACGATGTAAATTTCAAAATTAACTCTGCTATACTATATCTGTATATAATCTTATGCTATACTGAAAAACTTGTAATCTGTAGATAAATAAAAGTAGAATTTAATACGAAATATAATTTTATTGACATAATATTCATTTCAAACAAGTCCAAACCTACTTGTATTAATCATGTTCTTATTGGAAGATTATCAGGCAAATATAAATAACAAAAACCTTCTAGAAATAGTAAGAATGAAAGTAAATGGGGAAAATAAGGTTAAAGTCACATCATGTTATTAGAAAAAATTTGGTAAAATATAAAATTATGTTACAAACATTATTACGACTAAACATGAAGCATCATCGGCCGTGTACCAGAGATCGATGCACGAGCGAAGAACGGACGGCTACGCATAAAAGTCCACCGATCCAGAACGGAAGGATCTACGGTAACGCGAGAGCGAAC